ACGCTTAAGGGTCTGGGAAGGGGGGGGCGGGAGGGTGAGTGAGAAGGGGGAGGTGGCCTATGAGGCTGTTTATGTGTAATTGGATGGCGAGGATGGTAGCGGTAAGTTGCTTGGTGGGTGTGTTGATTACTTTGGGCTAGAGGGTTTGTGGTCAGGTGGGCACTACTAGTGAAGGTCTGGTATTTGCCTTGACTTGGGTTTTGCCCCTTTTTTGTCTTATCTACTAGTTTGATAATACGTTAGCTTCTAGGGACTCGGGGATACTGTGGGGTCTATACAGTTGCAGCCCGCCAGTTGGTTGGAGTGCACCGAGTCTCGGATTTCAGCAAATGCTGAAATGCCCAGGGCCTCTGAGTTAGTTAGGCCCTGGGCACTCGAACGTGAGGCCGACAATGCATGCTGGGTAGAAAGGCCGAAATGCCAAAGGGAAAATCGGCCCACTATCTGAATCTGGCCGCAGGCCTTGAGAAGAGAGGCGCAACTGCATTACTCCGGGGCCCAACTGTATCAGGAAGGCTTCAGCCTCTGGGTCCCGGTCGCAGGCTGAAGGGAGGCCGCCCACATGCTGCATTGGCATATAGGCAAGCAGGGCGAGGCAGCAAGCATCTTGGCCAATGCTGGCATATGCGGGCACGCTGCGCAGATGCAAGTGWGCTGCGCTGTGCAGAGCAGCGCTGCGCTAAGACAGGGCAGGCCAGCGCTAGGCGGTAGGGCGCTGCCTGCGTGCAGGGCACTGGCGGCCATAGCCGGGCCGCATGAGGGTGCAGGGGAGGTGAGGGCGAAGGTGGTACTTCGGAGGTGAAGGGCGCTGTGTGGGTAACAAGGGAGAGTGTGGGGAAGAGGACACGTACCTGGTGATGGTGGAGGTCTGCATTGGTGTTGACATCATCACTCGCTGGTAGTCAAGTTGTCTGGTTGCTGTTCATTGCTGTAGTTGTAGGATAGGCTGTAGAGTAGATAGKGCGCCTGGCGCYATTCACAAGAGAGAGCKACATTTGGGTTATGCTGTTGGTGTTGCCCTGGTGGGCATGGACATTGACTCACGATTCTTCTGTATCATTCTCAATGGGATGGTTACTCGGTTCCATGTGCTATCTGCTTTGGCTTTGAATACTTGGACTTCAGTGTGATTTTGCATTCTGGATTTCTGTGCTTCGTCCATACTCATGTTCCTTGCAAAAAGTTCTTTTCCAGTGGGCTCCACTTTTCTGGGTTTTTGAAGCCCAGTAGTAGAAGTATGCTGTTGTTTGTGAAGGTCGTGTCAGTTACTATGTTCCATAAATTTGCTACCTTTTGCCATAGTGGTTGTATTCTTGGACAGTGCAGGAAACAGTTTCTGCCATAGTGCATTTTCTGTCTTTCTATTGTTTCTTGGCATCTTTTGCGCCATATTACCCAGAGTGTGGCTTTTCTGAGTATTCTGAAAAAGTTCTTTTCCAGTGGGCTCCACTTTTCTGGGTTTTTGAAGCCCAGTAGTAGAAGTATGCTGTTGTCTGTGAAGGTCGTGTCAGTTACTATGTTCCATAAATTTTCCTCTTTTTCTGTTTGCGCTTTTTTTTTTCCCTTTTTTTTTCTTTCTGTTTGTGCTTTACTTTTCCAGGTTGTACTTCTTTTGAAGTTGCTGCGGATATTGGGATGCTGGTCCCGGTTTCCGGCACAAGCCAAACCTGGGTAATGGCCCAGCACTATCCGGGTTGAGATGTTGAAGAATTCCCGACCTCATTGGTTGATTATAGAATAGAAGTGCAGCTTTCCTTAAAAAAAAAATAAAAAAAATGACACAACGAAAACACGCGGCACCTTTGGCCACCCAGATGTTTCTTCACTCCACTTCCAGATAATGCTGCATCTGCTCTCTCACCATTCGCTAGATAACCCGGCTCCTCCCGCTTCCCCCAACTATGCCCACATGCCTTTTTGCCCGGTTTTCATCAGTGTTATCAGACTACCTAAGGGATGACACGTTAATCTGCTCCTTGAGCGAGAATAATCCAGAAGGTGCAGTTCCCGGCACCGACTGGAGTCATCACCGACGGGGTGATGTACCACTTTCACAGGCTGCTCCTATCACCTCCTCAAGTGGGATCTGCACAAAGGGTGTTTTCATTGTTTTGTTAAAAAAAAAAAAAAAACATTCTCTTAAACCGAGATGCTCAGGCATCCAGTACCACAATCTTTACAAGTAAGCTAGGACCGGATCAGTCAAAATAACTGCAATACTGAAGCAGTTCTAGTTAAGAAGGAAGCTGATGGCCTTTATGGGTGAGACGAACTGCTCAGGCTTTGTTTTTGACAAATGTTTCTTTCGGGGGGTTTTGCATTCATGCATGGGCGTACTGGTCGGTCAATCCTCATCGCCCGGTCGTGACGAGGCAAAGCGTTTGGAATTCTCTGTATTTTCATGACTTGCCGATGGAAGGGAACCACAATACTGCTCCCCAGGACAGAAAAGAACCAAGGCCATAAGACCCCACTAAAAAAAGGGAGGAAAAAGCTTGGGCAACACAGATGTGGCCTCACGAACTTCCATCGTCATGTATGTCAGCATCAAATAGACAAGGCACTTTTTTTTTTTTTTTTTTTTTTTAAACAACAACGCTCCCATCTATTGGTGGGGGAGAAAAGACAAGGCACTAATCCACAAAGAAATAGAATTCCAAGAAATACAGCAGACAGATGAGATTTCAGGAATATCAACGGACCTGTCGAATCTTTCCATTATCCCCAACCACAAGCACTGGGACCGCATCATGCACCACTGCCGCGACCTCGACATCTGGTTTCTCGCGAGCCTCCTGCACATAGTCTTCCATGATCTCATCAACCAGCTCTCTGATATCGAAAACCTGATAATTAGTAGTTAACCTTCCTGCCTGCACAGGAGTTTCACACAGAAACACACTGGATATGCCCATGAGGCATGACACTCGATCTCCATGGGTTCATGCCAACTTCATGGTTGCTTTCAGTTGCAAATGTGCACCTTCTTCGTGACTACATGCCCCACAATACTTCATCTTCATTCATTAGGTCATACTTAAATCTTCCATAATCATCCTGAATCATCCTGAATCATCATCAATATTCATCATTGTATTCTCATTATAAGGGGTGCTGGGCCCGGTTCCCAGCACCTAAAAAAAAAAAAAAAAAAAAGATTAGAATGCACCCCGACTATAAGCGTCTCAGGGTATCCCCCCTTATGACAAAACATAAAATAAAAGATGCTATCATGCTACACAATATTACAGTCGTACAGACCTAGAGGCTAGAACTCTTGACTTTCAACCACAGGTCAAGAGTACAAGTCCAAGTCCAAGTCCAAGTCCAAGTCCAGGTTCTGAACTTATACACGTATTAAAGTGGGAACAAAGGCAGTTGCAGGAGGGGAAACAAGGTGAGTGTCACTGGGTGACCATTGGGCTTAGCTCAGTCGGTACACCCATTCTCTGTTCAATTGCAGACCTGAGTTCTATTCAAATGCAGACCTGAGTTTGTATTCCAATGAAATCGGATAAATTTCACGTTTCATGCACGAGATTCGTTCTCGTTGCACGACTGGTGTACTACGCAGTTGTCTGTGAGATAAGTTGATAACTGATAAGTGAAAGTCAGTCTGTGAAGCTAACTCTAAATTTACGTGGGGCAGTCAGGTCAAACTTCAAAGAGGTGAGATGCCAAGGCCATACTTGATGGATGCTGAGCTTTCAGTTTTTCAGGCTCCTCCACATGCAGCTCTTCAGCATGAAATTGGAGAACACTTGGAAGCTGGATCAGCACGGAGGTCAGGTCCACGCTCAACTAGCACAGAAACCATAGTAGGTTCGATTGAGAAGTTCTGTAACTTGAACTTGGTCAAGGAGGCGGAGGGAGAGGGAGTGGCTTACCCACACGCAACCACCCTCCGATTTTTGGATGGCTGGCAGACCAACTCTTGGCTGAGGGTCACGTCAGAATTCCTCACGGAATCGAAGATAAAGTTGATAAACAGAATCAGACTAAGGCACACTCCCCTTTAAACCCCTTTAGCCCCTTAAAAACAAACAAATTTATACCCCCCTTCCCCCCACCTTGACAGCCAACGCTCTAAAAAAGAAAGGAGCCCGGATTTGCGGTCCTCCGGCCATGCTCAGAAAACATCCACCCCAAAACAAAAAGAAGGCTGCCTGCATGGGGTGCCCCGTTGCAGGTGACCCCCAAGCGACTTGCCCAGGTTGCATGGCTGTGCTCCACAGCCGGGCGAGCCAAGTAGCCAAGATTAGAATGCCATTTACAGAGCGATGTTTGCAATGTTCTTAAAAAAGTCTGTTAAGATTAGAATGACAGTTACCATACAATGAAAGATTAGCATGGTCCCTTCCCGACGATGAAACACACAAATTGAGAAAAGGTCCAAATTAAACAAAAAAGACGAAGAAGATGAAGACGACGACGACAACGACGATGACGACGACAATGAAGAAGAAGAAGAAGAAGAAGAAGAAGAAGAAGAAGAAGAAGAAGAAGAGGAGGAGGAGGAGGAGGAGGAGGAGGAGGAGGAGACGCTTACAATGACTGAGTCGTACCTCTAGGTCAGTCAGATCCATAATGTACCCCATATGCCTCATAAGTCCTTTGCAGCTTGACAAAGCTTCACCCAAAAAGTCTGCTTGAGAAGGATCCAACTCCGTCTGCTTCAAGGACTGCAAAAACCCTAGCATCACCCAAGAGGAAACCAACAATCAATCGACTTAAACTACAAACAAACCTGCACCAATAGGTGCATGAGTGCATGAAAAGCAGTTCGGACCTGTGTTATGATCTCTGCCCAGTCAGGTCCACAAGGGCCGGCATGGGGATCCTCCAGGCGAATCCAGGTGGGCCGGAAAATGCCCACAAATTTTTATTTTCCCATCCTACTGCACTCATCTAGAACATGCAGAATCCCGAGTCCTTTTTTGAAAACAGCATGTCAAGTTCAGGGGTTTTGGGGGGGGGGGGGGGGGGGTTTTTGGGGGGGGGGGGGGGGGGGGGGGGGGGGGGGGGGGGGGGGGCTGCTTCTGGGGTGTTGGGGGAGGGCCAGGGATAACCTCTGCCTGTAACCTCTCTCTCTCTCTCTCTCTGAAAGAAGAAGAAGAAGAAGAAGAAGAAGAAGAAGAAGAAGAAGAAGAAGAAGAAGAAGAAGAAGGAGGAGGAGGAGGAGGAGGAGGAGGAGGAGGAGGAGGAAGGAGGGAGAAGAGATGGAGGGCGAGACGAAGACGAAGAAGAGGAAGAAGAAGAAGAAGAAGAAGAAGATGCCGTCCTCCTCGCTGTCTCACCTGCAGGTAACTGCCACCATGTACTAACCGCCATCCTGGTCCCTGTGCAGGTCGCCAGCATGGAGCGCGGCTATGGCACCCAGGTAAGTACCACCAATGCAGGTATGGCCTCCGCCTCACCTCCTACCTATGCCTCTTACCTCTACAGCCAGCGTTGTGTCGCGCTGCTCCAGCAGCATGTCGCCCAAGAAGTGAGTTACCCCAACTGTGTGTCTGCCCAGCCGTGGCCCAGCAATAATTAACGCTGGGCCGGCTGGCCTGCCTCTGTGTGCCTACGGTCCTGTGCCCAAACGTGGGCCTACTGGGTCTGGGTCCCGACCTGACGTCCAGACCCTGTACCTGGCCCAGGGAGGCCTGCCTCCTGGTGAACCTGGCACAAGGCGTGGCCTTGGGGACTGCAGGTCCGAAACGACGCCTGAACAAACAAAAATAGGACAGCAAACAAATAAATAAATAAATGAATGCTGTCTCGAATCGAATTCTGCGGCCTAAGGGCCAGCCGTGGGCCTCCAGGGCGCGCGTCCGAAGGGCGTGTGGCCTGGGGGCCCCCAACAACCGTCGGGCCCCCAAAATGGGGCCCGTGTGCAGGCTCAGCATGTAACACCCCCCCGTCCTTATGAAGTCAAGCCGGGTCGAGGACGAAGCTGATGATCCGATGGTGGAACCTGGACGCGAGTGCACCGTGGAGCCGAAGGTACCGGCTTGCCTTGTAGCTTGCATTCGTAACGTGCGAGGACAGCCCCCTGAAGTTCCGCACGGGTCAACCAACGGTCAGCCTTAAATGTACTAAGTACTCCGTCAGCTTGGTGTTGCAGCGCCGCTGCGATCCGCCAAAACGAAAAGAGCCAACTTTGAACAATAAAAGACCGAGTAGATGGGCAAGTGGGCGGGCACCTGAATGACAAATGATGGTCCTTTGGGTGTGTCACCTGCGGGGGCTACAATGCGTCAAGACCCCATCCATTTTGGAAGGAGCTTGCGAGAGATATCTTGTTCGAGGCTGAATTCTGCGGCGGAGACCCAAACGAGGTCGTTGGCGCAGAATGGACAAGGAAGACGCTGACAATTGGCCTGTCGGCTCATGCGTTGCTGCGTCTTCAACATCTGGTTGCGTGCCTTGACAAGGAGTTCTTGCATCCGTTGAATAAACATAAGGTAAGCGTCGTCGCTCTAGGTCACACGTGGGATGATCGTGTCCAACGGTGATGTGACCGGCGAGCCATGCTCGAACTCAAAGGGCAACATCCCCATAGCTGGATGAATGGACAAGTTGTAAGCCAACTCGACGTCCGGCAGCCGCTCAACCCAATCCTTTTGGTTGAGACGGAGGAGAGTGCGAAGAAGAACCTATGCGGTTCGATGCGCCCTCTCCGTTTGGTCATCGGTTTGTGGGTGGCGAGCCGAACTCGGCTTGAGAGATGAGCCCCATTGTTTGATGAGCACCAACCAAAAGAAGGACATGAACCGAGTGTCGCGGTCGCAAACGATTTCCTTGGGGTAATCCTTGGTTCGAATCCAACCGGCAAGCAGAACTTCGGCCAACTCTGGTGCCTTGGTGTGATAGCGACAAGGCAAAAACATGGCAAACTTGGTGAGTCGATCAACAACCGTGAGAATCCCATCCACACCGGTCTTGTGCTTGGGGAACGACCCGGTGATGTCCATGACAATCGATTCCCGTCGTCCTTGGGGGACCGGTAATGGTCGCAACTCGCCGAGCGGACGATGATTGCGGGATTTGCAACGTCGGCAAACCTCGCATGCCTCGCAATAGCGTGTGATGTCACCAAGAAGGTCGGGGCACCAAAAGCGCTCGCGAAGTCAGCCAATCGTACGATCGACTCCAAAATGTCCGGTGGCGGGAGTATCATGGAACTCGCCAAGAAGTCGCGTACGCAAGTGTGGGTCACTCGTCACGCAAAGAAGATCCTTCCCCCGTGAGTGGACTAGCAAGTTGCCCTCTTGGATTCGATAGTGCGATGGCGCCGGATTTGGAGAGGAGCAATTCGCGTACGTGTCATGAAACTCGAGGTCGACTTGGTAGCCGCGGATGAAGGTGTCCCGCAAGTCGTCGTCAATCTCAAACGTCAAGTAGACTATGATACAATGGTCGTCTGGTTGCCGTGAAAGAGCATCCGCAAAACGGTTTGACTTTCTTGGAATGTGATCGGGGAAGAAGTCAAACCGATCGGGGAAGAAGTCAAACCGATCGATGAAAGTCATCCAATGGGCGATGGTGCTATTGATTGTGTCTTGGGTCTTCTAGAAGACCAATGGATTGTTATCTGTTACTCGTCGGAATTGACTTCGACCGAGAAGAAAATGTGACCACCGCTTAAGTGCGTGTATGGAGGCTAATAACTCCTTTTGTGCTTCATCAATCGAATGACGGCCACTTTCTTACTAAAGTATTTGACCGGGTGCTAGTCCACGCCATCGTGTTGCTCGAGGACGGCACCAATGCCATAGCCGGACGCATCGGTAGTGACCCGCATAGGCAAAGGCAGGTCGTAGATGCGTAAAACCTTCGTGGATAGCAAGGCGGCTTTGAGGGTCAAAAAGGAAGCCCGCGCATCGTCACCGAAGTCTAACGGCCGATCCTCGCATTGAAGCTTGGTCAAATGGGTCGCGATCTTCGAATAGCCTTTGATGAAGCATTGATAGTAGCCGGCTAGGCCAAGAAACGAACCAACATCCGTCAAGTTCTTCGGCTCCGGCCACTCTTGGACGGCTTGAATTTTGTCCGATAACAGACTAATGTCCTCCGGTGTGACAAAATGGCCCAAGTACTCCAACTCTTGCCGTACAAATTCGCACTTGTCGCGGTTGGCTTTGTACTTGCGCGATGGAGCGTTTCCAACACACGTCGAAGATGCCCGAGATGGTCCTCCAAGGTCCGGCTATAGAGGAGAATGTCGTCCAAGTAGACCGGCACAAACCGGTCCAACATCGCACGAAACTCATTGGTCATCACCGCTTGAAAAGTCGTCGAGGCATTGGTGAGGCCAAAAGGCATGACAACCCACTCAAAATACCCGTACCGCATCTTGAACGTGGATTTGTAGCGATCTTGTGGGCGTGTCGAAATCTGATGATCGTCTGACTTCAAGTCCAACTCGGAAAAACACTTTGCACCGCCCAACGCTCAAGAAGATCGTCAATACGAGGAAGAGGCCCCGCATTCTTGACGGTTTGCGCATTGAGCTTGCTATAGTCGATGCACAAGCGAAGATCCTTGGCATCCGCAGCATGCAGTGGCTCCTAGCACAAACAGCCCTCCCGGTCAATCAATGGCTCCACAAAAGAAGGAAACACTCAGACCCAGACAACTCAGAACTCTGTGTTCTTTGCAACAACAACATACCTGAAGATATCCCTCACTGCCTTCTCCTCTGTCTGGAAGCGACCTGGATCTGCAACAAAGTTCTGGACCTATGGCCCACCCTCTTTTCAGCACCACCCCCCAACACCTCCCCTATAACTATGCTGCTCCTCTCTAACACTCCCAGTAACCTCAAGGGCAGCAGTGAAGTCTGGTTCAATCTACTCAGAAAACTGGCACTCTGGGTAATATGGAAGCGCAGGTGCACACGGACAATCGAGGGAATAGAGCTGGCAAGGGAGAAAATGTGGACTCTTCTGCTAAACATGGTGGAGACCGAAATTTGGAGCAGATGGCGAAAGATATCTTCGTCCATGAAGCACAGACCAGAAAAGCACGCAGTCAAAAAGATGTGCATTCCTAAGGGACTGGTTGGGACTGGTTGTTGAGGAGCAAGGTTGCCACCATAACGGACAACAGGCTGACATGGAAGAAGTGGCATCAGGATTAGCCACAAGGCAGCAGAACGCCATGACATCAATGAAGGAGGAACAGTATGATGAGCAGGAAAACGAGCAGTCTGATGAGAAGGGTGTGGGAAAGACATATGAATTCGAATGGAAGCTGAACCTCTCACTTTTCTTGTTTTGCAGTTGTCTATTTGACAGGCCCTGATTGGGAGCCTGAGAGGAACAAGTGGGTCGGGCAAGCTGACAGTCAATCCTCCTACACGGTAGTAATCAATGCTGGTCAGGGATCCTTCACCATATGGAAGGAAGCGTGAGCGTGTACTCTATGTATTTCAATCTTGACTTGCCGGGGAAACTCCCCAGAATGGAAATGGAGCCAGGACCATAAGGGCCTATTTTTTGTAAAAAAAAAAAAAAAAAAGAAAGAAGGAACCGGATTGACACTCCCGATAATGGAAAAGGAACCAGGACCATACGGACCCGTTTAAAAAAAATTAAAAAAAATGGCAAGTATACTATTTTAAAAATATGCTTCATTTGAAATGACTGCTATAAACTCAGTTCATGGCAACACTGCCGCGGGCAAGGGTTGTCACTTTTGGTC